AACCCAGAAGACAGAAATCTTCATACTCATCGCCCTGATGACGGAGGCAGTACGACCTCTGAAACGTTGGTTAACATCGACCAGACTACACAGCGCAACAACCCAGAAGACATAAATCTTCATACTCTGATGACGGAGGCAGTATGACCTCTGAAACGTTTGTTAACATCGACCAGACTACACAGCGCAACAACCCAGAAGACAGAAATCTTCATACTCATCGCCCTGATGACGGAGGCAGTACGACCTCTGAAACGTTGGTTAACATCGACCAGACTACACAGCGCAACAACCTAGAAGACGGAAATCTAAAAGGAGCTTATTTAGCATGTCAGATACTACAATGTTTTCTTGCCTAGGTCCACAACTCTGCGCTTTGTTCCAGAATATCCTTAAGCTGTTATATTCCATTAGGTCGTGGGGCCAAGATTCACACTCATACAAAACTATATGTGAAATTATTATATCTGAGATTTGAGGTTCTCTCGGCAGTGAAGATGTTGGATTCTGAGCTTATTGGTTATGAAACCGCGTGGTTTTGGCACGAACGTATCTGCTCCATCGTCTGATGATGGAGACATATGATTTCACAACTCTGAATATCACCATCGACAGATTATATCTTAATATTTTTGGTTTTAAGATAGGGTATTGTAATTAGAATATTCTTATATGAATGGTAGCAAATATCCACCGAATTTAATCTGATACTAGTTTCGTCATGAGTATAATTCCTATTTGACGCTGTTAATAATCTACTTTAATTTCATTATAAATGTTGAAAACAGCTACAGTTCAATTTTTTAGATGTGGCCGCTGAGCAGCGCGTGAGGGGAAGAGTGGTGGGGGTTGATATGTACTGCGCGTCGTGTTTACAGTGGCCACGTCCAAGGAATTGAACTGTGACTGCTGATATTGTAATTCGTGCTGCTTAAAAATGTGACCTGATTCAATTCCTCATGACTGGCGCGAAGTTAGTGGTCTTACCTCTTGCATATCGGGATGTACTGTGCTGTTGGCTGCATCCATTGACTCTAGTGCTGGTGAAGTGTATGCAGAAGCGAAACCAACTATCATGGATCCTAGGGAAACAGACAAAGCCGCCAAGACCTGCAACAGATAAAACAATTCCATCGTAAATAACTCAAAATTTTGTTCGGTGGGATTTAAGATTCTCATGGCAGCAAATACAAAGATTCTGGGATGTTGCTCCTATATAGCTTGGTAGAAATTGACCGACGTTTCAGAGGTACTTAAATTCTTTCCCCGAAACCAGAGCTAACTCCATGGGAGCAAAGTAGTTGAGAAGTTGATAGTTGCTCAGCCGGCCAAGAAAATTGCCGCCTTTTATTGAACCCGAAGGTTCATTACCGTGTTCGCAAGATCTTGTTCAATTCAATTCGTATTTCTTTCTAAAATGTTGGTTTATTCTTGGTGTATTTTAAGACTTTTAGCTGTAAATGTTATATGTATTTATGTGTATGTATATATATGTACCGCCACGGTGGTCTAGCGGTTAGAACGCTGGCCTTGTAATCCTGGGGGTCTCGGGTTCGAATTTATAACTTGTGTTGGGCAAGGCCGTGGTCTAGGCAACACGGAGTTTTCCTCCGTGGCATCCCAACAATTACTCCATTCACACACAGAAGAAGGCAATGGCAAACCACTTCTGGATCATCTGCCAAGAACGTATATGAAGAGGTCCCAGTCCGAGAAGAGAAAAGAATGGAAGGATCCTGTTCATATGGACCTGTCCTCAGACAGAACACTAAATAAATAAAATATATACATGTATTAAAATAAGGGAATGATATGAGAAAATTATTATAAATGACGAGTAGGAACAGATTTGGAAGAACGTAGTTTTTCCAAGGCACTCGTTTAGAGAGTCTGAGGAAAATCGCCGAAGTGCCCAGTCATAGTAGCCGATAAAACCCGACCGAGAGTCGAACCGGGTATTACCGGGCCTGACACATCATTGATTGCATTTCCCAAACAATATTAGGTGAAACGTAAAAGTTCACGCATTACGCTCAGATTTGTCACTGTTTCTAGCTGCTTGAAGTTTTCCACGTTTCGAGAGATTTTTTTTAGCGTATGTGAACAGAGGTTTGCTCATTACTTATTTGGTTCAGATTCTACGGCTGTGCAGGCTACTGTATGAATGGACCTAAATAAATAAATGTATAACTTCGACTTTCGGGTTTGAGCCGCGTCGAATGTCGGGTATTATCAAACGTTTCGGCAAACACTGCAGCTGCCATCTTCAGGGTGAATGTTTGCTGAAATGTTTGATAATACCCGACATTCGAAGCGGCTCACACCCGATAGTCGAAGTTATACTTTTAATTTTTGTTAATTGTTTTCAGTAACTTTGCATGACTTGGTTTCGCAGTTTATGCACGTGTTTGTAATCAGAAATGCTTTGCTCTCTTGGTTGAGGCAGCAAGCGATTCACTATGCATTCATTTAAAGCCAATTTGAATCAACTGACCACGTCTTTTGTCACCAGTTGGAGAAGAATATTGCTCTTTCTATGGCATATGCCTCCCGGTTAGTCCCTCTAACAGTAACACGCGTTTCGAGCTGTTAAGAGGCTTACGTCACTAAAGCGCTTTAACATAGAAACTCAACATTTCACCCTCGTTAATTTCGTGTTTATTGTGAATTTCGTTTTGTTCTCAGTGTAAGGGTATATAATTTTCCTAAACAGAGAAGCTGTGGGTTTTTTCCTTTCTTGAATGAGAATTTTTAATCACTATGTCAATTGAATAAAAATTTCCTTGGATATTATCCATCGTCTAGTAAATATAAAACGTAAAACGACGTTTCGGAGATGGGACTCTATCTCCGTCTTCAGGTTCCTACACAGTTGGGCCCACTCGATAGAGCTAATCCCTATCTCCGGACTTTTCCCTTGGATAGTATCCATCGTCTAGTAAATATAAAACGTAAAACGACGTTTCGGAGATGGGACTCTATCTCCGTCTTCAGGTTCCTACACAGTTGGGCCCACTCGATAGAGCTAATCCCTATCTCCGGACCTCGTCCCATCTCCGAAACGTCGTTTTACGTTTTATATTTACTAGACGATGGATAATATCCAAGGAAATTTTTATTCAATTGACTCTTCACCATCGTAAAGAAGTTTTAGATTTGATACACTATGTTAATGTTCGGGAAAGAAGCTGCTAACTTATTATTCATCTGTTTCCAACCTCCTGTTACTGTCTGTGAGATCCAAATATTCTCCTTAGCGTCTTGTTCTCAGCGGTAATGGAATTATTCCAAACTATGCCAACTATTTTTATGAAAATAATAATTCGATTTAAATTTGTATCAATTGTCGTAGCAATACCCGGTCTTCTGTACCTTGACGTAGCCCGTACCCTGAATGAACTCGGTGATTTGAACGTTTGTTCCTAATTTCAGTGGTTAGAATTAGTCTTATAAATTTTGGAACAGTCAGATCAAAATATGTATTATCGAAAATTGAATGTGGCCACTGGAATTTATTGTATTAGAATCTCGATAGTGACATTCGGCTGTCTGATGCAGCCTAACCGCTGTTGACGTTATTTTATATCGAAAGACGCTTGAAGTGAATTATGAAATGTATAACTGCACTTTTCATGTTATTACACAGAATGACACTGCGACATGTAATAGTTCTTTTCCAGAGCAACGTTTTCGTATTAACAACTGAACCTGTTTTTGAAATGGATAAACATTTTCTGTTCGTTCTTGTAGAACTTTAATATCACATACCTGAGTGAAAGTGCATTTTGCCTTTGGTTCTGTGCCTGGAAGTGTGATGTTTATGTGGGTATCAGCTCTCATCAAAATCTTCACCATCTTGTCCAAGATATTTTTCCTCACACGTCAGTTAAAATCTGAGGT